CACCACTTGTATGGTGATCAGGTGGCTTCGAGGATTGTTTCCCACCCGCGAGTTTCGTCTCGACGGCAGTATGAAATTTCCTGGCGGTCCTTTCGGTATTTTTTATATCTTCGTAGGTAGTCTTCGATTTCTGATAGTTTTTTTCCCTTTCTTTCTCTCTCTCTCTTGGTTGTTTCAGGACCGTCATCTTATGCAAAATACTGTCGCCTCGTATTGTGTGGCGCAAGCCGAGCCGCTGCAGCTTGCATTCGGGGTGGATGTTACTTCTGCTCCGTTCCGCAAGCTTTCTCGGGAGTTGTTTCACCTCTTGCTTGCTCATGCACCGTCTAAGCCGTCCTGGTTGTTGGGCCGGGTGCTCTCTTTCCTCTCTTCTCCTTGGTTTGTGGTGGCCTCCCTTGGGGAGCTTCATGCGCTCCTCCGCCACAGGGATTTCTGATCCTTTGGTCCTGGTGGTTGTTTCATTCGTTTGCAGCCGTCTCCTTCTTTTCTGGCGAAGAATGAGTCTGCTGCCTTCCGAAGGGGTCCTTGGGTTGTTGATGCTTGGTTGGTTTGGCCGAGGGTGCATCGCGTTTTGTGTCCGGTTGCGGCTCTTCGCCATTATGCCTACTCTTTGCATGCCACGGCCTCCATGGCAAGGGATGCACTTTGGGTGGACCCAGTTTCCCTTCTTCCCTGTTCCAGGGTGCGGGTCTTCCCAGGTCATTCGCAGGATTATTTGGTCCAGCCAGCCTGTAGTTTATCCCTGTGCCCACGATGTTTGTAAGTTCGCAGCTTTGGCTGCTGTTTTTGGTAATATTTTCTTGGCTGACATTTGGGCATGGGGCTTTTGGAGGTTAAACAGGGTCCTGGCTGCACAGTACCTCGTTAATGTTGCTGGCCCTTCTCGGGCGTGTGTATCCTTGGGTCGCAGGTTGCAGCCATCTGTCTTGACTTCGAGTTGAAGAGTGAGTGATGACCGCCTCCCTGGAGTCCCTTTTCTTCTTTGGTTGGGTAGCTCTGGGGAGCCGAAGGGGGGGCTCTACAGAAAACCAGCGTTGAATGTAATGAAACGCCATTTTTTAATGAGACCCAGAGGCTCCCCGGCATCCCTCTCTCCTTCCGGTTGGCATTTTTTTCGCGTTTCTGATGTTCAGCCTCTGAACTGGTGAGAATAGCCAGCTTCTGCTACACATAAGGGGCATAACTGGCAAACCCCTCACAGTGTTCAAGAGAGAACTGGATAAGCACCTCCAAAGGATACCTGATCAACCAGGCTGTGACTCATACGTCAGACTGCGAGCAGCTGCGTCCAACAGCCTGGTTGATCAGTCCGGCAACCAAGAGGTCTGGTCGACGACCGGGCCGCAGGGATGCTAAGCCCCGGAAGCACCTCAAGGTAACCTCAAGGTATGGAGATCTGGGACCCCCCCCCCTCCCTGCCCTCCCGTCCCCATCCCGGGAAGGGGGGAATTGCGCAGACAGATGTGCGGCTGTTGTGGTGACGTCATGTTTATTTCCTTGATTGGGGAGTTCTGTTTGCTAGTTCGGCTTTCGGTTTGCATTTTTTGACCAGCAGTAGTTTGTTTTGGAATTCCTACCTTTCTGGGTGCCTGACCTAGTAGATGGCAGACAAAGACGGCTTCCAATTTCACGGGGGTATCTTAAGGCCATTGCTCCTCATGCCTCTCGAGGCAGGCCAGGTGCTGACTCTGGTCCCTAGTAGGCTTAGAACTGCTTTGATTGATTGTTGCCATAGTCTAATATACACACACCAGCCCGGTATAGCTCTGGGGAGCCTCCGGGTCTCACCCAGAAAGTGGCATTTCATTACATTTAATGCTGGTATTTTATTTCAGATTTTGAATGTTTAAGATTTATTCAAGAGAAAGTGTGTGAATGATTTAAATAATTACATGAACTGATGAAAGGTTTAACCCTTAACATGCTCGGGGTCTAATATCCTGCTATCCGCACAGGCGCATGTCATTTTGAAAAAAAAAAAATTTTTTTTTTTTTTGCTAATCTGTTAAGTTCTGTTCACTGATCACGGGAAAAATAAAAAAAAAATTCTATTGTACTTACTTTTGTTGCAATAGAGCCGAGAAGCTCGGTGATGACGTCACAATCTGCATGTTCGCTCATGCAGTACACGCCCGGGAGGTGTTGCGCGCGGTCCTCAAACAGCCAGAGTTGCCACAAATATATTTTCGTGCTATTTATTTACAATGTCTAAGCGCATTTTATCTAATTTTTTTTCACTAATTGTGTTTCAAATACTGTTTGAACATATTTTGTATCAATAATTGTTGCATATTTGAGTATACACAGGCGCACACAAATGTTTTCAATTACGGCAATATAATATGTCATTACAGTCAATTATATTGTATGTTCTGCTTATATATGTATATATTTACACACACGCACACGCTATCTGCTTATATGTTTACATATTTACACACTCGCACACGCTATACACACTTTGAAGCACACTTAGAAGATTTCTAGACTGTGGTAGTCATTGAAGCAGTCGACAGCACATAATGGGATACCACACGTTTCACACCATGTTTGCACAAGCTTCCGTTTCTTGTCTCTACGTGTCGTTGTTTTACACACCAAGCAATCACGTTGGGCTATTGCACGCTTCACACCAGGTGGCAAATACTTAAGTTTGTGTGCTAGGAAGCCTTCAGTGTGAGCGAGGCGTGGAGTACCAGCATGCTGCAACAGTGGGTTTATGATGGGCCGCTGAATACCTGGGACATCTTTTGCAAACTTTCCTAATAACTGTATTGCAGCATCAAATACAAAGTCACGGAAAGTGGGCTTACGTCCAGTTCTCACAAGGTACATGTTGAAACAGTTCAGCATGCTCATGTCCACAAGATGGAAGAATACTTTTTTCGTCCACCTATATGTCTTCCGCACACACTCTGCAGTGCCAATCATCATGTCTGATTTATCAATCAACCGCATGTTGATATTATAGTCTAAAACACAGTCTGGCTTATATAGTGGTGCGTTTGTTTTATGGCTCACTTTCCCACTGTTCACCATTGTTCCATCATGAATTGTTGTCAACAAGTTCACCTCTCTTTTGTCTTTCCACCGAACTGACAGAATGTTATCACTTTTCCTTCTCTGACACTCACCAACTGCAATGTCGTTGTCAAACACAGGCATTTCCCTTCGTTGTGGCTTTACTGTACCAACCAATCCGGTTCTATTTTCTAGCAAGAACCGAGCTAGCAAGGGACTTGTATAGTAATTATCTGTGTATAAAATGTGTCCCTTGTTCATCCACGGAGCCATGATGGTCTTCACTACACTCCCCGAGAATCCATGTTCGTCGTTACCGGGAATGTCTACATCACTAGCCGAGTACAGAGTCATGTGTAACACGTATCCTGTCTCACAATCACAAAGAACAAAAAATTTCAGGCCAAATCGGTTTCGTTTTGAGGGAATGTACTGTTTGAATGGAACACGTCCCTTGAAAAGTATGAGAGATTCATCAACCACCAGCTTCTGTGCTGGTAAGTAAAAATCTCTGAATTTTCCAATAACATCGTTCATGTAGTGCCTCACTCGCCACAGTCTATCATCAGGTGTTCGGTCCTGAACACTTCCAAAATGTAGACACCTGAGGAGTATCTGAAACCTGTCTCGTGACATATATTTCCCGAATAAAGGTGTTGGTATTGTCTTGTCCTTGCTCCAATAGTCATTTATTGCATGTTTGTGACAGTGCTTCATCAACAGAGTGCCAAAAACACATACATTTCCGCCACTGTGGTATTTTTCCAACGCTGCAGTCGTGAAAATTCTGTGATTTCCCTCTCAATCAGGTAAGCAGCATGCAGGTTCGTTTGGTGTACAATGTATTCCATGAGTGGTTCATCATAGAATGCTGTAAAATATTCCATCTCAGCCATGTCCTCACCTTGATTAGGGAAAAGGTTTGTAATCCCTACATCTTTATCGTCAAAGTGAGGAATATTAGGAATAAAATCGTCACCATCACTCCACTCAAGTACACCAGGCGTCCTGCGAGATGCAGAGGAAAGACGGCGAGGAAGCGATGCATACCGGCGACCAGGAGCTGAATACCGTCTGTGAGAAGCACGGCGGCTACGTGCACGTGAGGTGGGTGCACGTGAGGTGGATGCACGTGAACACGAGGGTCTTGGTCCCTCATGTGGTGCCATGCGGTGGCGCTTGGCCGGGCGAGATGCTGCTGACGCGACAATTTCTCGCCCAGTTACACCACTGGTACCAGCCACAGGCTCAATAAAACTGTGATCTGAGTCACTAAACCCAGAAAAGGAGTCATCTCCCTCTGACTCGTCACCCTCAAACAGAAAATATCCACAGGAACTGTGAGGTCGTGGTAGAATTGGGGTAGAAAATGGGCGAGGAGGCATGGGAGAGCGTATAGGCCTCGCCATGGCATGGCAGTCATTCTCACTTTCACTGCTGCTGCTACTATCACCCAACAACTGTGTATAATCCTCATCGTTGTCTGAATCGTCAAACACTTTCTTCACCTTCAGAGAATAATTCGTGGGCTATTTGCTCTGGGGTGAGGGACTGAGTGGTGCGTGCCCGTGAGGCGTTTGACCGTGCGCTCGCCATGGTGACTCTCGCTAAACTGAGGCCTCCCATGCCTTCGGATCGTGAGCGGGAATTTTTTTCAAAATGGCCGCTGTTTATTAGAGCCCCTGGGCAGCGTATGGGACCCCCAGCTACACCGCGGGCCATTCAAATCGTGCGCGGTACCCATACACTTCATATGAAGTGAAGCGCAGTTGACTGGTAAAACGATTTACACTTCATATGAAGTGATGCGCACTTTAAGGGTTAATCATATAGCAAAAATCTATACAATTTGTAGGAAATGAATTAGTGTATACTGTACTTGCCTAATGTGTTTAATGTATTTTAAAGTCCATGTAATATGTATCAACAATTATTGCTACCAACTCGTATAAGTTTGTAATACAGTAATTTTATTTCAGTTCTATATTGAATGAAGATGGTAATCTGCAGCTACTTCCAAAGATGGACACAGATACATATATTAATGGCAAATTGGTTACGTCCCCTCAAAACGTAAGATATAGATATATCTGATTATGTATATATATTCTCAATATTACATTATTTAGCATATACAGTATTTGCATTGTAACCATTTAGTGGTTCGAAATGCAAACGCACCAAATGCAAAAGTGGTTGAAAATTTAGTGGTTCGAAATGCATGGTCATATTCACATTATGAATATGACCATGAAGTTCAGAAATAACTCATAAAATGAAAGCTAAGTGAATAACATGTAAATTTGAGAGGTGAAACTCACAAAAAACTACAATCTGATATAAAAAGTGTCATCCAGTGGGCAATAAGTAGTACTGGTTACAAGACTTCATTATCGTTATAGGAGGTGTGACCAAATCTAAGATCTTGAAATAATAATGTCAGAAGATCTAAAGTTTAGACAACACTACAAAGAAAACATAGGAACAGTCAGGAAATAGTCACCTCCCCTTTTTCACTTTTCCTCTCCTGTTTCCCAAAGATGTTATTGCACTGGTTGTTTTCTTTGGGGATATCTGGGGAAAGCCATGTCGGCTCCATGAAGCTATCACACTGATTAAGTGCCATTCTGCTTGGTGTCATCAGTCACATAGTTCTTTATGCCTATCGAGAACCACGAGCCAGAACCTGATCCTCTTAGAGATTAGAGAGGCAGGGAGCGAGGGCCTGTGAGCCCGTTGCATTTAAAAGTTAACATCTTTGTCAACTAGCACAAGTTAACGTCTTTGTCAACTAGCACAAGTTAACGTCTTTGTCAACTAGCACAGTTAACGTCTTTGTCAACTAGCACAAGTTAACGTCTTTGTCAACTAGCACAAGTTAACGTCTTTGTCAACTAGCACAAGTTAACGTCTTTGTCAACTAGCAAGTTAACGTCTTTGTCAACTAGCACAAGTTAACGTCTTTGTCAACTAGCACAAGTTAACGTCTTTGTCAACTAGCACAAGTTAACGTCTTTGTCAACTAGCACAAGTTAACGTCTTTGTCAACTAGCACAAGTTAACGTCTTTGTCAACTAGCACAAGTTAACGTCTTTGTCAACTAGCACAAGTTAACGTCTTTGTCAACTAGCACAAGTTAACGTCTTTGTCAACTAGCACAAGTTAACGTCTTTGTCAACTTAACGTCTTTGTCAACTAGCACAAGTTAACGTCTTTGTCAACTAGCACAAGTTAACGTCTTTGTCAACTAGCACAAGTTAACGTCTTTGTCAACTAGCACAAGTTAACGTCTTTGTCAACTAGCACAAGTTAACGTCTTTGTCAACTAGCACAAGTTAACGTCTTTGTCAACTAGCACAAGTTAACGTCTTTGTCAACTAGCACAAGTTAACGTCTTTGTCAACTAGCACAAGTTAACGTCTTTGTCAACTAGCACAAGTTAACGTCTTTGTCAACTAGCACAAGTTAACGTCTTTGTCAACAAGCACAAGTTAACGTCTTTGTCAACTAGCACAAGTTAACGTCTTTGTCAACTAGCACAAGTTAACGTCTTTGTCAACTAGCACAAGTTAACGTCTTTGTCAACTAGCACAAGTTAACGTCTGTCAACTAGCACAAGTTAACGTCTGTTAACTAGCACAAGTTAACGTCTTTGTCAACTAGCACAAGTTAACGTCTTTGTCAACTAGCACAAGTTAACGTCTGTTAACTAGCATGCACACTTGAGCGGGCGGCTCACCCCTTCTTCTGAAGGGATGAGAAGAACGTTATGCTCTTCTCCGGCACCAGGAGTTTTGTTCTTTTGGTCCTGGTGGTCGTTTTATTAGGTTTCAGCCAAGTCTCTTTCTGGTGAAGGATGAATCAGCGGGCTTCCGAAGTGGTTTAGTGGTTGGTTCGGCTGGGATTGCATCATGTGCTGTATCTGATGGCGGCTTTATGCTGCTACCTTCAGGTCTTCAGTTTTGTTTCGGTGAACTTCTGGGTTGATCAGATTTCCCTGGTTCCCTGTACCAGGGCTCGTGTCGTCTGCAATGTCATTACCTCTAGTCAGCCTGCAGTCTCTCCTCATGCTCATGTTGTTCGGAAGTACCCTACTCTGTCGACAGTTTTTGGGTCGGTCTTGTTGCCTCGGTCTTGGATATCTGTCCAAGGATATTCAAGATATCTTGGATATCCTGAATATTGGTCTTGGGCCGATATTCAGGCACGAGACTTTTGTAGGTCTAACAAGGTTTTGGCTGCTGCATCACTGATAATTCCACATTTTTGTCCTTCTCTGTGGGTAGTTGGCTTCAGGGAGCCAATGGCAATCCCCCAGAAAACTAGCATTAAATGTAACAAAATGCCAGTTTTTGGGTGAGCCCCTGAGGCTTCCCTCCCCTAGGTCGGCGGCATATTTCATCATTCTGGAACTGGCCGCTGAAGGCCTTGATAACCTGGGCCAGCTACCTCCTTCCCTCCAACGGGAAAAGGGAAGGTGGCGTTAAGTAGTGGGTGCTAGTTTCACAAAGCTTTGGTTATCTGTTGTCATTGTTGGTGGGAGTTCGTTTACATTTTGGGGGCTACAATCTTGTTTTAAACATGTGTCTTTCTGGGTGCTTTCCCTAGGTGATGGCAAAGATGATAACCTTCATGTAAAGTGATCATAGACCATTGCTCCCTGCGCCTTGCTGAGGGGATCAGGTTCTTGCTCTTGGTCCCCAGTAGGCATAATGAACTCATCGACTGATGGCACGAAGTAGTATGGCACTTAATTAGCATAACAGCTTTGGGGAGCCTCAGGGGCTCCCCCAGAAATTGGCATTTCATTACCTTCAACAATGGGTTTTTTCTTCACCTGGGATGTAGGGGCTACCTGCGGGCTGAGAGTTCAAACGAAATCCACAATGAAACGAATCGGCCTCGTCCAATATATATATATTGTAGTTCGTTCAAGCAAAGATACTCTGTACTTGTTGGATGTTTCCTTTAGCCAACCCCATACATGCTAATCCTTTTCAAGTCTTTTTCAATTAACTTTGCCCTATACATTTCAAAGTCCCAAAGGTCATTCCAAATTTAAGTCTTAATTATACACATTGTAATCAAGTAGGCTTCCTCTTCAAATTCCTGGGCCCCCCCATACATTTTTCACCATGAAAACCACTAATTCATCATTTAATTTCCTTACCTTGTCAAATAATAGGCAAATTAATAGTTGTAATGTGTGTTTTTTTATAAATTTACATGTTTACCAATTTACCATATTAAATAACAACAAATCATGTTCCTGAAGTGAAAGGAAATGTATTAAGTTCTGTGATATTAAGGCTGCATAGTTGTACAAGTATCTAAAATCAGATACAGTATTCATGATGAGCTTTGCCATAACTTTTATATTTTCATTATTCTGAATTTTAACACTTTGGTGTACCCAGTGCGCCACCCCTCAACTGTGCAATTTGGGTCCCAGCGTTTCACGGGAGCGCGTGTTAATTCTGAAAAGTGTATACTCTCTTCAACTTTGTCACCTCAATTCTCGTCCTACGAGATTAAATTTGGCATCATTGTGTTTGCAATAGAATTCTCTACAGCACTAAATGCATATAAACTCCAAAAGCCCGGCTAATTACCCGCAGCAAACAGAGAAAATGCGAATGAGTTACCCAGGAGTGAGCAAAAGCGATAAAATGTGTTCACTCTTTTCACTCTGGTCACCTCAATTTTTGTCCTAGGTCTTTCATTTTGGTATCACTGGGTTCGCAATAGAATTCTCTAGAAGATTATTAGCATATAAAATAAAAAACCTGGTCACGCTCCACCCGCCGACGAGTTGAAGACGGGCCACGCGTTAACCGCGAGTGAGCGCCCAGACGCCTTCCAGCTACACTCCCAATTCCTGCCCACAAATGTTTAGTATTTAGTACTTTAGTATATTTAGTATTATAGTTTAGTATTTTTTGTGTAGTAGCTGTACATCACATAAGCATTGTAGATAGCCATTTGCACAAAATAGAAGGTCATTTTCTTCGTCCATTTGTGAGTTTTCCTTATGAAGTGATAATATTTGATCATTTGGTCAAAGTGATTAACGCCTTTCATGTTTGTATTGTAGTCACAGATTACATTCGGCTTGTTGACAGTTACCAAACAGTCCCCCCAAAATTGGATTAAAACCTGATTTTTGGCAATTATTTTAGTGGACAACGCAGCATTGGGTCATGCCCGTGATTACCGACAGTAAACGGATGATGCAGCATTGCGTCATGCCCGGGCGAAAGTGTTAAATTAATAGTCAACTAGAGTTTAGTAATGCTTTTAGAAAGAGGCCACTGCTGCATAATATAATCATGTGGAAAGGTCAAGCTAACTATTGATGATTAACACTTCTTCTCCAGCTGCAACACAATGATCGGCTGGTGCTCGCTGGCATTTACTATTTCCGAGTGAGCAATCAAGTAAATAGTAAAAATTCCAGTCGGGAGACATCAAAGAAGATGGATTTCTACTTTACCAAAGAGGAACTATTAAAGGAGCAAGAAATAAGGTATGAATTACGTAACTTTACTTTAAACCTTGAGGCTATAGTGCGTGTGTAATTACCAAATTGTTCTTTACCCCTGCATTGTTCACCTATTACATGTGACAACTCCATGGTATGCACAACACGTTTGTATTTTTATTTACTTATTTTCTAGGGGGGTGGGGAGCCCCTTCGGCTTTGAGGAGCTATCCAGGCTGATATATATATTATTAGACTTTGGTCATTATGAATGGAGTTCTAGGCCTACTTGGGACCACGAGCCAGAACCTGGCCCCCTCAGAGAGGAATGAGGAGCAATGGCCTATAGGAGTGCACATGTTTGGAGCATTCTGTGTCTGCCATCGACTGGGCTGGGCACCCAGAAAGGTAAGCACCTCAAAACAAACCCCTAATCTTGTTAAAACAACAACTGAAAGCACTAAACAAGTGGACGGAACTCCCCAAATGAAAATGAGC